TGATTCTATACCTAGCAGACCCAAAAGGGTCTACAAAGAAACTATTAGAGCTAATAAATGAATTCAGCAAAGTGGCAGGATATAAAATCAACACGCATAAATCAAAGGCATTCCTGTATATCAGCGACAAATCCTCTGAAATGGAAATGAGGACAACCACTCCATTCACAATATCTTCAAAAAAAATAAAATACTTGGGAATCAACCTAACAAAAGAGGTGAAAGACTTATACAATGAAAACTACAGAACCCTAAAGAGAGAAGTAGAAGAAGATCTTAGAAGATGGAAAAATATACCCTGTTCATGGATAGGCAGAACTAACACCATCAAAATGGCGATATTACCAAAAGTTCTCTATAGGTTTAATGCAATGCCAATCAAAATCCCAATGGCATTTCTTGTAGAAATAGAGAAAGCAATCATGAAATTCATATGGAAAAATAAAAGACCCAGAATAGCAAAAACAATGCTAAGCAGGAAGTGTGAATCAGGCGGTATAGCGATACCAGACTTCAAACTATACTACAGAGCAATAGTAACAAAAACAGCATGGTACTGGTACCAAAACAGGCGGGTGGACCAATGGTACAGAATAGAGGACACAGAAACCAATCCACAAAACTACAACTACCTTATATTTGCTAAAGGGGCTAAAAGCATGCAATGGAGGAAGGATAGCATCTTCAACAAATGGTGCTGGGAAAACTGGAAATCCATATACAACAAAATGAAACTGAATCCCTTTCTCTCGCCATGCACAAAAGTGAATTCAAAATGGATCAAGGAGCTTGATATCAAATCAGAGACACGCTGTCTGATAGAAGAAAAAGTTGGCTACGATCTACATTCGGTGGGGTCGGGCTCCAAATTCCTCAATAGGACACCCATAGCACAAAAGTTAATAACTAGAATCAACAAATGGGACTTACTCAAACTAAAAAGTTTTTTCTCAGCAAAAGAAACAATAAGAGAGGTAAATAGGGAGCCTACACCCTGGTAACAAATCTTTACTCCTCACACTTCAGATAGAGCCCTAATATCCAGAGTATACAAAGAACTCAAAAAATTAGACAATAAGAGAACAAACAACCCAATCAACAAATGGGCCAAGGACCTGAACAGACACTTCTCAGAGGAGGACATACAGTCAATCAACAAGTACATGAAAAAATGCTCACCATCTCTAGCAGTCAGAGAAATGCAAATCAAAACCACCCTAAGATACCATCTCACTCCAGTAAGATTGGCAGCCATTATGAAGTCAAACAACAACAAGTGCTGGAGAGGATGTGGGGAAAAGGGTACACTTGTACATTGCTGGTGGGACTGCAGATTGGTGCAGCCAATTTGGAAAGCAGTATGGAGATTTCTTGGAAAGCTGGGAATAGAGCCACCATTTGACCCAGCTATTCCCCTTCTTGGTCTATTCCCTAAAGACCTAAAAAGAGCATGCTACAGGGACACTGCTACATCGATGTTCATAGCAGCACAATTCACAATAGCAAGACTGTGGAACCAACCTAGATGCCCTTCAATAGACGAATGGATAAAAAAAAATGTGGCATTTATACACAATGGAGTATTACTCTGCATTAAAAAATGACAAAATCATAGAATTTGCAGGGAAATGGATGGCATTAGAGCAGATTATGCTAAGTGAAGCTAGCCAATCCCTAAAAAACAAATGCCAAATGTCTTCTTTGATATAAGGAGAGTAACTAAGATCAGAGTAGGGACGAAGAGCAGGAGAAGAAGATTAACATTTAACAGGGATGAGAGGTGGGAGGGAAAGGGAGAGAGAAGGGAAATTGCATGGAAATGGAAGGAGACCCTCTGGGTTATACAGTGGAGGGGGTAGAGAGAGAGGAGGGGAGGGGAGGGGAGAGGTGGGGAGGGGGGAGGGTGGAGGATTGGAAAGGCAGCGGAGCACAACAGACACTAGTATGGCAATATGTAAATCAATGGATGTGTAACTGATGTGATTCTGCAATCTGTGTATGGGATGAAGGTGGGAGTTCATAACCCACTTGAATCAAAGTGTGGAATATGATATGTCAAGAAATTTGTAATGCTTTGAACAACCAACAATAAAAAATTAAAAAAAAATAAAAAAATAAAGATTTGGTAGGGTGTTCCACATTCTGATGTCATCTGAAGGTCACCAGATGTTTCTGAGTTCGGTAAATTCTAAGAAAGATTATTTAGCAGTTCATATCTTCACCCTTTAGGTGGGGCTTCTCTTTAGACTTTAGAAGGCTGGGCAAAAGACATGGGACTTGTCCTTGCAAAAGGATTTGGGAGGGGAAGCAAACTTGTGAAAGGGCAGAGAGGGGAAGTGAAAGTAACCCTGCCAAGGGTGGCTCTTCAAAGAGTGGTCACTGTTACCTAAGACCCCCAAATAAGCACTTTTTAATGTTTGTTGTTTTTGAGTTTGGATTGATCAACAACACCTCTTCCTCCTGGAAGTTCTAGAGCTGTAATCTTTATAATAAAATGGTAATCTCATAAGTAAATTCTTTCCCTGAGCAGTTGGAGCAAAATATCAAACCTGAGGAGGGGGTCACGGGGTCTTTCTACAGTAGCCACGTCAGACAGAAATGGTGGGCAGCCTGCCACTTGTGACCGACATCTGAAGCAGAGGCAGATCTGTGGGAACGAGCCCTTAGCCTGTGGGGTCTGTGGAAATAGTCACAAGAGAAGTATTGAAAGTGCTATTAGAAAAGAAACTGGGGATTTTCTTCCAAGGAGTAGTAAGGTTGTGGGGACAAACAAGGCCAGGCACCGAAGACACCAGGAAACAGTTTTATTTGGCTGCAGCCAGGTTCAGAGGGCACAGCTTTTGCTGTAATCAATCAATCCCCTGAACCCCGAGTTCAGGTAGTTTCAGAGTTTTATACCCAGTATGTAAGGGGAGGGGCTCAGAAGTTCACAGTCTGCAGAAATTCACATAAAAGCAGCTTTTTCTTTCACGGTTTTGGGCAAGTTAACCCTTCAAGGACAACACCTGAGAAGGGGAGAGCTTCTTCTCCCCTCTCGTTCCTCCCCCCTGACAGCTGTTACCATGGAGCCCAGTTGGTAACTTCTCTTTAAAATGTAGACATCTCTGTGAAGCCCAGCTCAAGGCCAGAGGCCTTGTTTGCACATTTCCACAAACTACTATACTGGATACATGTTTGTGAAAAACTAGTAAGGGGGTGTCCAGCACCTGGAGAGCTGATTTCTTCCCAGCCTGTGGCCAAGTAAAATAGGGCAGCACGAAAATAGGAAGTTTATCTACACTGAACTCTTTTGCAGAGACTCTTTTGCTGACAGTCCTAAAATCAGCCATGGTGAAGATTTCTGGAGAAGCCCATTAAGACTTTTCTATGGAGAAAGGAAGTGCCACTACAGTAAAATTCTGGACATATTTTTGAAGGTACAGCTGTAACCGTGGTCCACGTTATGCTTTGAATGTAGCCCTTGCTGCTCTGCCACTGCAATTAATTTTTAAAATGGACTTGTTTCTTTCTCTTTCTCTCTCCCTGCTCCTCCCTAATCTCTCCCCCTCCCCAATCTCCATCCTATGCAGAATGATCTGTCCCTGAGTACACACCTTGCATAGGAACCAAGTAATCCAGACTTTGGGGATGGCACCAGAAGTGCCGCAGTCTGGCTGGGCACAAATCACGAGCCACTGAAGCAGGAACAAACTTTATTTCCGAACTCCACCAGCTCACTCCACACATGCTCCCCGGGAACTCTCTCGAACGCCACGCGGCTCCTCCAGGAACCACCAACTGGAAATCCCTCCTCCAGCACTTCCCCAACCAATTCGAACTCTTCAGGAATCCCTGCGAGAGCTCAACTGGAACTCAACGGGAACTCCGCAAGAACTCAAAAGTCATCATCTTAATGGCTCGCTGGCGTCACCTCTCAACCACTACTTCTGGCAAAAATGCCATGCATCATCCTGACTCAGCTGTGGCCCTCAACAAGAAGATCTCAGAAATGACTATCTCTCAAATTAGCAAGCGAGTCACAACTCCAACAGAGAACATGTGGAATGCAGCCTTTAAGTCAACTCTTTAAAAGCCCCCTATTCCTGCTGATGGGCAGAATCACAGCCCTTGAGACAGGAGTCCCCTATGTTTCTCCTTTGCTAGCAAAACAATACACCTTCCTTTTCCTTTTTCTCAAAACCATGTCCTCATTATTGGGTTGGCATCGGGGACAAGGACTGAGCTTTCAGCAACAAAAAATAACCAAAGGGCTTATTAATGAATTGGATGTGTAGTTTGAGACGAGGGGAGGCCTAAACATATCTCCAGACACTGTGAAAGGAATCATGTGACTGGGTTTACAAGTTAGTGCTCTTGCTGGTGAACCACTGTGCTTATAGGTATAAGTTCCTTGCTTAGCATCTAGACAGCCATCTTAAGTGACAGCTGCCATTTTAAGGAAAATTTTGCTTTCCTGCCTAAGGGTGTTTCTGAGAAAGGCTCACCACTCCCTCATACCAACCCAACCCAACCCCTAACCACCCAGCTCTGATTCCTGATCCTGCCTCATAAAAGTGCCAGAACCCAAGCCTGTTTTGCCTCTCTCCACTATAGAGAGGCGGCCTTTATTTGCCTGCTCTGATGAATACACTCTCTTATGTGTCTCTGCCTGGTCTCCGTCTTTCATTTCTCACTCACTGGTCTCTCGTTTCTCACTTTCCCTTCAATAGGATTCTGGATACCTGATGGTTAAGTCCTGCGGGGGAGGAGTTCTTATGATATAGAATATTAATGAATCTTCTAGAAGGAAGGATCCTACTTAAAATATTCTCTCTTTGCCTGTGCCCATTAGGACAGTTCAGGAACTCCACAGGGCTGTGAGTGTCACCTTGGTGGTGGTCTCACTTCTTGTTTCATCCTCAGCCCTGCCTTTCCTTTTGCATTGTCGTCCCAGTTCCCTCTTTTAGAAACAGCTGTTAATTATGACGTAGCCAATGAACAGCACTCTGCCTCTGCTCAGGACTTCCTGATTCTCCTTTTATAAACACAGAGACAGGACAGGGAGTCAAAGAGTGGTGAGCTCAGGAGACCCCAGCCCAGCTCTTCCTGCCCACGGGGAAGATGAAGTTCTCCACAGCTGCCCTCTCCCTGCTCATTCTTGCTGCTGCTCTTGGATCCCAGGCCCGGGTCATACATGGTGAGTCCAGTGAGCTATCTCACTGGTGGCCACATCCTCGGTAACTCATGGTCTGGGAGGGAGATGCAGCAGGCACCATTTTCCTCTAGTGACTCCTGTCCATCCCAGACATAGTGATGGAACTTACTTAACAGAAGAGCAGGGTATAGACCTGGAAAAGGTCTGCAGCCTGGAAAAAAAAAAAACTGTCCACAAATGACTGGTCCTGTTTGGGGACAATTATTTCCTTTTTCATGGCCAGAGTTATTGGATACCTTTTCTTAGTGGACATGGGGACTATTCAATGCTAGATCAAAAAAATTATAGTACAACTGGAAATTTTTTGGAAAGAAGCATAGAATTCTATGACGTTTGAACCATTATATACCATCTAATATAAATCTATCACATTGGAGAGGAAGGGGTCCAACCCAGGCAAGTGTCTCATACAAAGTCACCTAACCATTCTATTCTTTAACAAATATGTGTCTAGTCATTCCTCTGTACAGGGCAGGCACTATTCCAAGTTTCTTATGGATGCTAACGAATTTATTCCTGATAACAATCCTGTAGGGTAGATAGTATATTAAATGATGTGAATTACTTATTTTTGTTGGGGAAAAACCTAGCATGATATCAGTCATTTATTTGCATATTGTTGCTGTTGTTGTTCTCATTTTGTAAAAGAGAAAACTGATTTATAAAAACTTTAAATAACTTGCATGAGATCACCCAGCTGGTAGGTGGTGAAATTAGGATAGGAGCTAGTTTGGAAGTAGTTATGGGAAGCCAAGACTATATAAGATATTTTGTACAGGCCACCTTGACCATATCAAGCATATTACATTGTATACAGGTGCCTCATTATATACAATTTATATGTAACTATTCAACCTTGCCTTGGTGTCCTTGAGGAATTGTTCCAGGATCTTACATGGATACCAAAATACCTGGATGCTCATGACCTTATATAACCCATGCACATCTTCCCCTGTGCTATAAATAATTTCTAGATTACTTATAGTACCTAAAACAATGTAAGTGCTAGTAAATAGTTGTTATACTATATTGTTCAGGAAATAATGACATGTTCAGTACTGATGCAACTTGTGTTTTTGCTTTGTTTCAGTTTTGAAGTGCTAGGTATTGAAACTAGGCTTCATACATGCTAAGCAAGGGCTGTTCCACTGAGCTACATTCCCAGCCCCTTGATGCAACTTTTTTCTTTCTTTCTTTCTTTTTAGAATATTTTCAACCACAGTTGATTGACTCCATAGGTGTGGAACCCCCAGGTATAGAGGGTTGACTATTTATAAGAAATGAGCTAAGAGAGGGACATGGTGGCACACTCCAGTAATCCCAGTGACTTGGGAGGCTGAGACAGGAAGATCACAAATTCAAGGCAAACTTCAGTGTCTTAGTGAAGCCTTCAGCAACTTAATGAGACCCTGTCTCAAAATAAAAAAATATGGAAAGCAGTATGGAAATTCCTTAGAAAACTGGGCATGGAACTACCATTTGACCCAGCTATCCCACTCCTTGGTTTATACCCAAAATCAGCATACAACAATAATGCAGCCATGTCAATGTTTATAGCAGCTCAATTCACAACAGCTAAACTATGGAACCAACCTCAGTATCCCTCAATAGATGAATGGATAAAGAAAATGTGGTAAACATAGTCAATGAAATATTACTCAGCTTTAAAGAAGAGTGAAATTATGGCATTTGCCAGTAAATGTTGGAGTTGGAGAATATCATGCTAAGTGAAATAAGCCAATCCCACAAAACTAAGAGCTGACCGAATGTTTTCTCTAATATGCAGATGCTAAATCACAATAAGTTGGGGTTAGGGGAGCCACTAGGGAAGAATGGGGGGGGGTAGAAAAGATAGTAGAATGAGACAGACATAATTACTTTATGTATATATGTGACTGAAAAATGAGAAATTATATCCCATCTATGTATGATATAGCAAAGTACATAAATGCATTCTAGTGTCAAGTATAACTCATTAAAACAAATTAAAAATTTTTTAAAAAGAATCAATGAGAACCAAATTCAATTTTAAGTTTGCATTTATATTTTCTTTCCTTAAGTGCAAAAAACAATCATATTTACTTTATGTGAAATACAGGTTAATGGAGATTGACATTAAAGTCTTTTCAATGCACTCCATTTTTTAAAAAAGTAAGTCTATGATAGTGTTTTTGAGTTTGTATTTTAAAATATCTATAATAAAATACTTCTTTTTAATTTTTTTCATTAAATAAATAAATAAATAAGAAGGACTGGGGATGTAGCTCAGTGATAAAGCACCCCTGCATTAAATTCCTGGTACCAAAAAAAAAGAAAGAAAGAAAATAAATGGGCTAAGAACAAGAAAGCAATTGTTGAACTAAGTTGATGACTGAATCCTTGTTGCCCAAATCATTAATTTATGTTTTGATATGAAAAATAAATATCAGTTTTAGAGCTAGTTTTAGTCTGTGATACAGGCAATTGTGGAAATGACTGACTTTGAGTTGAAAGGGAGGGACGGAGGAAAGCAGGAAGGGGGGCTAAAAGTTTAGCTGCATTTGCCTAATTAGCACAATATAGGTCTGTAATCCCCCAAACAGTTAGGGCTGTATGAATTTCAGAATATAGAATCTTGGGGGCTTTGAAAAGTTAAGATGATATCCAGTAATTTCACTTCTGGGTATACACCCCAAAAACTTGAAAGCATGTGCATGAAAAGATTTCAGTACCACCATGTTCTTAGCAGTGTTCTCCACAGTAGGCAAAAGGTAGAAACACAATGTGTCCATCAGTGGACACATAATGGATGGGTGAGTAAAATGTGGTAGACACATGCAATGAAATATTATCCAGCATTCTGACATGCTACTATATGGACAAAAGTCGGGTGACATAAGTGAAGTGAGTCAGTCACGAAAGACAGATGCTGCATGATTCTCCTTGTATAAGCTACACAGAGTGGTATTTGCAAGGTTTATGAATGGATGGTGGTGATACTTGCACGGTATTTGGAATATATTTAAGGCTACTAAACTGAACACTTTAAAATGTTTTAATAGCAAAATTTGAAGATATATATATTTACTACAATTTAAAAAAAATTTAAAGACAATAAACACCTGCATGTTGCTTAACTTTGTGGGATCTGGAAAGCACACTATTTCTGTGAAATGCAGCAATATTTCTATTACGGTTTAAATCTAGAAAGATTCTCCTAAAAGCTCATGTTTTGAAAGTGTGACCTCCAATGTAGCAAGGTTCAGAGGTGGGCTTTTAGGCAAGGGTGAGAGCTAATCAGGTAGATTAATCCATTTTATGAATTAAGAATTTGAGTGGACTGCTAGGTGATAACTATGGGCAAGGGGGGCATAGCTGGAGTAGGTCACTGGGACACGACTTTGGGGACATTGTATACCTTGTCCCCAGCTCCTCACTCTTTTTCTCTGCTTCCTGGTTGTCACGAGCTGAACAGATTTCTGCCATTGTCCCCTTGGTCAGCCTCACCTCAGGCCTACAGCAATGGAGTCAGCCAGCCAGGGAATAAAATCTCTGAAACCAAGAGCACCAAATAAACATTCCTTCCTCTAAATTGTTCTTGTCAGGTGTTTTGATCACAGCGATTAAAAATTGACTAATATTCAGGAATCCACCCAGGCAACCCTGGTAGTAGCAAACACCTGTCATCCCAGAGACTAGGGGCAGGGGAGGGGTGGGGGGCACTGAGACAGAAGGATCACAAGTTCAACACCAGCCTCACCAACTGAATGAGATCCTCAGCAACTGAGCGAGAACTGGTCTCAAAATTAAAAAGGTAAAAAGAACTAGGGATGTAACTCATTGAGAAAGAGTCCCTGGGTTCAGTCCCCAGTACAAAAAAAGAAAAGAAAAAAAAAAGCTGACTAACACAATTCTTCAGCAAACACATAAGTATTAGTACCAAATGGGATAAATAAAGATTGTAAATAGGTTCACATCATTTCAAGGGACATTGTGCCACCAAATGAGCTGATGAACAACTTGCTGTTTGCCAGTCTTTTAGAAGGCAAAAACATGAAGAAAGAGTGTGGATGCCCTTCAATAGATGAATGGATAAAAAAAAATGTGGCATTTATATACCATGGAGTATTACGCAGCACTAAAAAATGACAAAATCATGGAATTTGTAGGGAAATGGATGGCACTAGAGCAGATTATGCTAAGTGAAGCTAGCCAATCCCTAAAAAACAAATGCCAAATGTCTTCTTTGATATAATGAGAGCAACTAAGAACAGAGCAGGGAGGAAGAGCAGGAGGATAAGATTAACATTAAACAGAGACATGAGGTGGGAGGGAAAGGGAGAGAAAAGGGAAATTGCATGGAAATGGAAGGAGACCCTAATTGTTATACAAAATTACATATAAGAGGTTGTGAGGGGAATGGGAAAATAAACAAGGAGAAAAATGAATTACAGTAGATGGGTAGAGAGAGAAGATGGGAGGGGAGGGGAGGGGGGATAGTTGAGGATAGGAAAGGTAGCAGAATACAACAGTCACTAATATGGCATTATGTAAAAATGTGGGTGTGTAACCGATGTGATTCTGCAATCTGTATACGGGGTAAAAATGGGAGTTCATAACCCACTTGAATCTAAAGTATGAAATATGATATGTCAAGAGCTTTGTAATGTTTTGAACAACCAATAAAAAAAAAGAAAAGAAAGAGTGTGGACTTCATCACATTTGGAATAGATCCCTTGAAGTCACTCATATTTGACTTTCACTGTGCTATTAGTATTCAAGAGACAGTAGAATGTCTCTGTGTCTCAAACATTTTCAAAAGGGCCCTGAAGAACCGCAGGGAAAAAGAAGACAGAAGGGCTAAGGCAGGCCTACACCCAGACAGGTGACTGTGTTCCAGGATCGGGGCCTCTCTGCCTTGGGATGGGGTGAGGAATGGGGTGGGTGGAGATGCTGAAATGGTGCTGTCTCCCAGTAAATTCCACCCCATCTGTCTGCTTCTTTCAGATCTAGAGAAAAGACAAGTTCTGAGGATTCCTATTGAGTCTCCAATTCAGCACGGTAAATGACCAAATAGGACATATTTCTAAGCAGCAGGGGGGCTCAGACTTATGCTAGAGATTCGTCCACCCTGTTGACAGGACAGGCTGAGAATAGGAGGGCCTGAGGGTGGGGAAAGTCTCCAGGGAAGATCAGGATGGGCCATGGGTACCTCCTCCAAGGATGTCTTCTCTATTGTCACCTGGCTATCCTGAGAGTCCGCCCAGCTGGGGCACAGGGTGCTCTGTGATGCCTGCAGCTGCCTTCCCCTTCCAGGGCTAATGCTTCTGCCCCTATCATGGTTCAGACACAGAGGTCAGCTCTGGGGTGGGGGGTTCTGAAGCAAGGAGATGACAGTGAGTGCTGCCCAAGGAGGAAGAAGCATCCCCTCTGAGCCCTGGTCCCCCGCCATGGAACCCTTCACAGCAACCTACACGGTACTCCTGATGCAAAAGGCTTGGCCCTCAAATGGACTTTCTCTGCCTGCAGGTATTCTTCAGGAAGCTGCTGACTGCTGCTTCTCATATACTCGGCGAAGAATCCGGTGTACATTCATGAAAGATTATTTTGAAACGAGCAGTGGGTGCTCTCAGCCAGGTGTCATGTAAGTGTCAATCTCACCCACCATGTGTTGGGAGCCAGGGAGCCCGCAGGGTCTTGGAGGGAGGGCATGAGGGATGGGTGTCTAAAATAGTCCCACCCTTGAATTTTGCCAGGTAAGGGACAACTTGTGTCCTCACCAGGGTCCTGCAGGGCACGAGGGATGAGACCTTCCTAGTGGAGAGGAGGAGAGGGGAGGAAGGAGAGAGCAGGCAGGAGGCTGCCCAAGGACACTCCCATGAATCCTCAGGGAGTCTCACAGGCAGAGGAGGGTCTCAGAGAGGATTCTGGGCCTGAGCTGCCTTCTGCAGAGAATGGAAAGAAGAGACTGTTGGGTGGGGATTCCCAGGGGTAAGGAGGATGGGGCTCCTTGCATCCACTTGCTGAAGATGACTCATTTTGTAATCCTTTCCCCACTTTTCTCCAGTTTCTTCAGCAGGAAGGGACAACGAATCTGTGCCGACCCCAATGATGGGGGAGTCCAGGAGTGCATGGCAAACTTGAACTTAAAATAACTGTCCACGGATCTGGAGCTAAAAAAATCAACTGAGGAAAAGGAACACAAGTTGCAGCCACCGCACCCCCAACTCCCTCAACCCACCTACCTCCTGGGAGATTCTTGGCCTGAATTACTGAAAACAAGTGAACAAACAAAAAAAAAAGTCTGTATTCTGTTTGGTGTTAAAGCAACGCATCTGGTAAACAATAAACAGCATCTGTGTGGATTCAGCCTGATTTGATGGCAGAACCTGAGTTGTAACCACCATGATTGCCCCAGAACATCTCAAATTGGGTTTTCCTGCATAGTTTCCCAGAAAGGTATAAAAGGATAAAACCATTAGAGTGATATGTGGAGCTTTACAACCAGAGTCCAGCTCCAGGAGCATGCCTGACTCTTACGTCAGTGTAAGGTAAACCAGGTACATTCCAGTTACAATGAAGTCTCTTTTCTCCAAACCCAGTTCCCTGCCTCTCTTTCTGACTCAAATTGCATCTATCAGTGAGTCCCCAGTAAACTGCACTCTAATGCTCGATCTGTCTGTCTCTCAGGTCTCACAGCACCCAGTGCCAGTCCTCATACACCAGGACTGAGTTGTTCTAGAGCAAAATCCAATTACTTTACTCATTTATTTTGAAGTTTACGAGGAAGAGGAAACTGAGGGGATTACTCATCTTAGGATAAGTATTATCTTTGAAACAAGAGATATCATAGTATTATTTTTAAATAGCTAAAGTCATGACTCATTCAAATATAGATTGAATGTGTGTATTTAAACCATGTTATGGGTCCATGTGTGATGGAATCATAAAACTGATCCAAAAATCACTGGAGGAATAGAGTTTATAGAGTTAATTGCAGATGATATTCTAAAACATGTTTGCTAAGTTAGGGGATAGATTAGTACTTATGTATAGAGTGATCATAAACCTATCCGCTTTAGGGCTATCTTCTAGGGGACAGAAATCATTTGCATGTGTCCTGGTCAAAATTTTCAAGTTAATATGTTATCTCATAAACTTTGGGACCTGGTTAATAGTAAGTGGAACATCAACCCCCTTCCTACCATCCTCTACACTTACAGGAATCCAGGGGGGGTGCGGCGGCTGTTAGCAACATTCCAGGATGACATAGGAAGGTATGCACTTATCCTTTGCCCTATTTCTAAGTTTTAATTGTTTTTATTAATATACATAAGTTCTGAAAAGACTTTTCCTCTAAAGTTAAGGATATTTATAAACAATGTAAGCCAGTCACAGTGACATACACCTGTAAAACTGACTCTTCAGGATGCTGAGGCAGGAGGATCGAAAGTTCAAGGTCAGTTTGGAAAACATAGGAAGACCCTATCTCAAAATAAAATAAAAAGGGCTGGGGATGTAGTTCAGTAATAGAGGGCCTGGTTCAATCTCCAATGCTGCAAAAAAAGAAAAACAAAACTTTTAAAGAGAGTAGCTATCAAATATATGTACACCTCTATTTAAGCATATAAGCTTATTTTTACAATTAGTACACCTTGGTTACTATCTCATAAAATTCAAAGGACAGCACTGAATTCTAAACTACAACAAAATGTTTTCTATTTGAAAAAGTTTTAGGGCTGGGGATGTGGCTCAAGCCGTAGTGTGCTCACCTGGCACCCATGGGGCATTGGGTTCAATCCTCAACACCACAAAAATAAAATAAAGATATTGTGTCCACCGAAAACTAAAAAATAAATATTTTAAAAAAAGAAAAAGTTTTAAACTTATGTCTACTTTTAGTATGATTTGCCTAAGAAATCAATAAGAGGAAATAACTTTTAGAGCAGTGAGTCACAAATTGCAAAAAAAAAAAAATTCCTGAGATAACAACAAAAACTGGGGATTTTTATAACCCAAGGAAACTAGACACAAATTCACATTATGTCTCATCTTCTCCTCCCTACCAAAATAGCTAGTATTTTTAAGGTTTTGTGGTAGTTTGGAAAACAGCATCTTTCATCATACAATGGTCATGCTCAAATGACACAACTTACTTAATATCTGACCCATGAGAATCTCATGCAAGTCTTAGTTTCTAAGAATTTTCCATTAATTTTCAGTCTTATTAACCAAAAGAAAATGATTTGTCTTTATTTCATTATCACCATTCTGCATTTGCACATGGGAACTCACACCTCTGGTTTTATTTTATTCTCTGTTAACTACCTCATCCTTGCAGATATCCAAGGACCTTGAAACTGTGCACTGGGGATTTTGTTAAGAGAATGGATCACCTATGCTCTTTTAACCACACCCATGAGGAAGGAGAAGGCAGCTGTGGGGGTGGGAATTAGGTAAAAAAAAGCCTTAGAAATAGAATATGACTGTAACTATGGGATTTGAATACCAGATGCTGTGGAACCACTTTGCAGGAACACCTGGCCCAACCTGGAGGGAGCAAGGGCCTAGAAACCTTCCTGAATAGAGTTGATGAGTTAGTAGGAATTAGTATTAGCATGGCACCAATTTATCCATTAAGCACAACTATTGGGGTCCTCAAGTATATAGGTCCTCTCCTAAAGAAGAAAATCTAAATTTAAAAATTCACTTCTAGCTGTTGAAGTTATTATGCACTAAAATGTCATTGTATTGGAAAGTGGAGGGGCAGTGCGTGGGAAGAGAACCCAAGTCTTCAGGGCCTTCTGCACACAAAGACTTTGATGTTGGCCCCAAGTCCATGAGAAGCCCCTGGCAGATTCTGAATGATGAATCACAAGGCCAAGGCTGTATGCCAGAGCATGCCTCCTGGAGGGTACCCTGATTTCAGGCTTTAGGGCACTTGAGAGTCAGGGTGCAGTGGTTAGGCCTTGGGATCATCAGAGCTTAGGAATCTCCTAGCCCCTAATCTCCTGCTCTTCATTCCAGTGGCCAACTGGACTGGCTCCTAAGTTTCAATTCCCTTCTGGTTGGGCCAGAAGAGAACTGGAAATGGGCACAGTGTCCACCAAGTCCCAACCCTGAGTCAGGAAGTCTGACAGAGACACCCGCCCTCACCCTGTGGTCAGATTTATAGGAACCAATGAGTCTCCTAACAGAGGAATCCTTCTTGAAATAGTTCTTCTCTGTGCCTGTATACTGGGACAGCTGGAAAATCCCCATGTCACCTTTGCCCTCTACTTCCTGTTACGTTCTCAGCCTCTTTCTGTCTTATAGAAATAGCATGTTTGCTATTAATGAGCCAATGGAGAGCATTCTGACCTCTGTCCTGTGACTTCCTGATCCTCCTCCTTTGATACACATAAGGACAGGCCAGCAAATCAGGGAGATCAAAATTTATTTCTCAGAACAACTCTGCCTGCCCACAGGAAAGATGAAGGTCTCTGCAGCTGCCCTCTCCTTCCTCATTCTTGGTGCTTCCCTTGGATCCCAGGCCCAGGTCATACCCGGTGAGTCTGGAGAGCCCCTTCACCAGTGGCCAGGTCCTCGGTAACTCTTGGTCTGGGGAGAAGATGCAGAGGGCATCATTGCCCTCCCTGACTCTGTCTGCAGCTCTTGATCCCTGAGAGAAACTGCACAGAGATGATTGGTTCCATCTGGGGAAAGAGTTATCTCCTTTGCAAGGCCAGAATTATTGGATACCTTCTCTTAGCTGGCATTTTAGCTAGATAGAAAGAACCATCATTAAAATATAAATTTGTGGAAAGAAGTATAGAATCCCATGATGTTTGCACCATTATATAGCATCTACTGTAGAAATGTCATTTTCAGAGGAATTGGGACTAGCCAGGTAAGTGACTCACCTGAGATCACCTTCTCATTTGAATATGTGGAATTTTAATTTATGAAGGTGACTGAATCTCCAGAGAGACAAATGCCACTTAAAAAAAAAAAAAGAATGCAGCTGAGTGTGGTGATGCACATCTATAATCCAGAGGCTCGGGAGACTGAGGTAGAAGGATCTCAAGCTCAAAGCCAGCCTCAGCAAAACCAGGCACTAAGGAACTCAGTGAGACCCTGTCTCTAAATAAAATACAAAATAGGGCTGGGGATGTGGCTCAGTGGTTGAGTGACCCTGAGTTCAATCCCTGGTACCAAGAAAAAAAAGAATGTATTATTTACATTTCCCAAGAGAGGGAGGTACACTGAGCAGCACAGGGCCATGGTGTACCTCAGCTTTGGGCCACGGGGCACAAGAAGGATAGAGGGGAAACCTATGCCAGAGCCTTTATGAGGTTTCTGAGAAGAACTCAGGACAAAGGAGGGGGTGCTGTTTAAGACTGGATAGGTTGAATACGTCCAGAAAGCTTTGGATATAGTGATGATGGTCTTTCATTGTCTGGTACTTGGCTGTAGAATGATTTAGGGCAGGGGACATGTTGGCATGGCATTTGAGAGTGAGACAAAGAAGTGGTTGGGCAGAAGCATTCAGCATTAGTCAGTTTGAAACACTTGCTGTCTCTAAAAATTGACCAGTCCTGGGAGAGGCTCTCTCTCCGGCTGTCAAGATTCTTAAGAAGTTAAAATGTCACAGGATGCAGGGAGAAAAAATTAAAAAATAAAAAGCATGATTAGCAGTCACCTAACAATTCTAATTTTTATTTAACAAACATATTATCTAGTATTTTCTATGTGCCATGCCGTCACTGTTCTTTAAACATTGAGTCTTCCAAACAACTTTGTGGGTTAGGTATTAGTTGGAACAAGTTGTAAATTTGCCATTCATGTAGGGAACGAAAGAGTAAGACTTAAGCAATTGTATATAGTTTGTATATTATTATTGTTGTTGTTGTTGTAATCATTATTATATTTTCTCACTTTCCAAATGAGAAAACTGTGGTATAGAAACCTTAAATAACTTGCTTAATATCACATAGATAATAACTGTTGAAATCAGGATATGAGCTAGTTCAGAAGTAGTTATGGAAAGATAAGGCTATTTCAGATTTCTTTTTTTCTTTTTTTTTTTCACTTTGGATTGAAGTCAACAATCTACCACTGAGCCATATCCCCAGTCCTTTTTGTTTTTTAATTTTGAGAACATGTCTTGCTAAGTTGCTAAGAGATTCACTAAGTTGCTGAGGCTGGCCTCAAACTTTCGATCTTCCTCCTCTGCTTTCCAAGTCTCTGGAACTATAGGCATGATAGTGAGTCACCAATGCCAGCTCAGATCTTATTTATTTATTTTCATTGCAGTTCTACCCACATCATATCAAACATGTAGAGAAGTGCCCAAATGCCTTATTAAATGTAATTTAATTGTAACTATTTAAGAA